GTCCCTCCTCTCTCTCTCTCTCTCTCTCTCTCTCTAGAGGAACCACCATTCTCATATGGCGACTCAAATAGGATATACACAAATTCTCTACATTTTTATTTCGTATATGTAAGATTATAAATCCATACTAAATGGGCAACTTCCTATTGATGTTACTTATATCTCAAAAGACCAAGAGATATATTCAAAAGTTGGATTTCTAGTTCCTTTAAGAAAATTATCAACATCAATTTCAATCTTAATCACACATAATATAAGAATATCTCAATCCCATATAATATGGGATTTCTTTATGTGGGTGATTTTAGATAGCATCAAATCCAACAATCACAAGCATTTTGACATTGATCGGCAATTAACAACGTGTTTATATATTTAAATTTTCTCTTTCATTTCGTAGATGATAATGAGCTAAGATTTGCATTCTCCATTCTTCTAGCCCTTACACACGTCCAAAAATATTTTTTAAAAAAATAGAAAAAAAAAGACGAAGTAAAATGATCCAAAAACCTTTGAATCTTTAAGGGTATTTTGATCATTTTTTTATTTTTTAAACATTTTATATATATATTTTCTATAGATTTTCCCACTGGGGCATATAAATCTTCCAAAATTCTTTTAGATTTGAGTTTTATAAGTCAACATAAAAAAGCACAGGAAACAAATTTATAAATAAATCCGCAGTCATCAGCCATTTCCAAACTTCAGTCTTCCATGGGGGCTATGGATCTAGTGGCATCCACTTTTTGTGGAGAATGGAAGATCTAGACATGCCTCCCTTTATACCGCCACTTCATGTTATCAAACACAAAAGTGCTCTGAAAATTCTCCGGGGTTTCTAGAGCCAAAAGTTGGGGAAATTAGATGAGCCACAAGAGAATTGAATAAATTTACTGAAGCAATTTAACAAAGAGAAATTTTGTCATCTATCAGAATCATGCCCTTGCCTCTCCGTCACTTGGGAAATTTATAGATTAACACGATATTTGGAAAGGGAGGGATAATTTGTCTGAATCCAGAGGTCCCTACCAAGAACTGGTGTTTTGTTAGGGAACCGGGTGAGTTTTCAGGGAATCGTGCAATCCAAGTTGGCTGAAATGGCCGGTTTCCGGCCATTATATCTTTTTATTTTTTTTCAATTTTTTACATACCCATTCTCGAAAGGAAAAAACATTTTGAAAGAGCAATTCAGACAACGTGTCACACCACTCACATATCCGAACCAAATTTCCGGAAAGCCCATTCACCTGTCTCTTCTTTGAAGCAAGGATTAGAACAACAGATAAAGGGTGTTTTCGTCATTCCACCTCCACTATAGTGCGGTATAATGAATAGTATCGACTTTATTGTACTAATTGTACTGTGAAAAATTAATAAAATACTACCGTTTGTGTACCATGAAAACGGCTAAACTTTAAACTTCTCCGAGAGAAAACAAAGTAAATGGAACTCAATCCTGCATTTCTCTCTGCACTATTAGGGCGAAATCTCTCTCTACATTGTACATTGTAGGGAGAGAAATTGGAGGAAGAATTAGTAGGAAATTCTTATGTCAAAAGATTGTCTACTTCCGCCGGAGTATACTATCCATCTTTTATATTATAGTCTCTAGAACCGGAAACCAAAAAAATTTATTTAACTCCCACCTGTTGTTTATCTTAAAAAGATAGCAAGAATGATGTAGAATTTAGAACTCAAAATTTTTTTAAAAAAAAAATTATGTAGTTATAATTAGATGGATCTCGTGAAAGTATATATCTCGAAGTAGTAAACATATAGTATGCTCTCGAGTGAGCATAGGCCTATATATTCCCAGTTTCCAACTTAGTTGATTGAGGAAATAAATGGAATGAAACATAAATAGGCGCATAATCCAGTAGAGGAAAGTCAAATTAAGAGAGAGAGAGAGAGAGAGGATAAATAAATAAATAAAGGGTGTGGTGTGTATAAGCTGAGGCTCTAAACACAAATTGCGGGAAGGGGCCAAAGCGCATCCCTAATTTCCCATACGTCCCCGGCCTTACAGGCTTATTTCGCAGAGGCTCGTCTCTCTCTCTCTCTAAATCCCCCTCTCTCTTCCCATACCCCCCCCCCCCCCCCTTCCCAAAAATCTTTCTCTCTGTTCAACCCTTCACAAGGAAAAATCTCTATCAACCAAAATCCCCCTTTCTCTCTCTCAAAACCAGAAGAATCTCAAGACGATCCATGGCACATGTGGGTGATGGCATGGGTGACATGCACATGCCAGGCCACAACAGCACTGTGATGAGCATGGATGGCCATCCCATGAAGAAGTTGATGATGCACATAACATTGTTCTGGGGAAAAGACGTCTGGATCCTCTTCCATGGATGGCCAGGTGGGAGCCTTGGCATGTATATTCTCTCTGTAGCCCTCATCTACTTCGTCGCCATTCTGCTCGCACTCCCGTCGAACCATAGGCTCGTGCCATCGAGCGTAGTGGGCTCGCGTGGGGGTCGAACCCTGTTGCACGCCGTGCGAGTTGGGCTCGCCTACCTCCTTATGCTCGCAGTCATGTCGTTTAATGGAGGCATTTTGGTAGCTGCGATTGTGGGGAAGGCAGTTGGGTTCGCTATATTTAGTGGTGGGCGCGAGCCTGTGGTCGGCTCTGAGGCCGAGAGGGTTCCGGGGATGAATTGCTAATAGATTTTTTATAGGGCTTGCTATGGGCCTAGTGGAACGACCCTAAAAATTTAGGGCCGGGTCTTCTTTTGTTTGGTTTTGGCCTGGCCTGGCCTGGCCCGTTCCCGGCCCAACCCAATCTTATTGGGGCCGGGCCAGGTTGGGGCCAGCTCCGTGGGACAAGAGCCGGTCAGGGATCAATTTTTTTTCTTAGTTCTTCATTTCCTAAGGTGGACTCGCTTGGTCTAATCTCTCTTTCATTTTGTTCCGAATTTACACAGTTTGTTTTGAATTTACACATAGATATTAGATATAGTCCCATGCGCAAGTTGCCTCCCTTTTTGTTTCTATGCGAATGTACTTCCCTTTCTATCTTATTTTTTAACCATATCTCGGTTGGTGCTGAAACAAACAATTTTGGATGGCAAAGGCTTTTATTAAAATGAAAAGTTTGGTGTTTTTTTTTCATATGAATTCAGCGTTAAGGAAAGATTGGGCAAAGGTGTGCCTCTTTAAAAACCCTAACTGCTTTCCCTTTGCCTTTTCCTTCTCTAATAGCTTAGAGCTCTCTCTCTCTCTAGAGTTTCTATCCATGTTACTTGTTCCTCTCGCACCCCTTTCACCATCCTCTCGCAGCAAAGTACCTTCAAACATATACAGACTTTGAAGTAAAGTTCAAAAGTTTTATATCCAAAACCCCCTCAGGCTACATCTCTTTAATCCACTTCTTAGATGACAGAGACTCATCCTCTAATCCTAGCTAGTGCCCAGATTGTAACAAGGCATAACCTGAGATTGTTGCATGTGGAAGCTCTAAATCTGACGAGTTGATTTTTGGCAAATAAAGTACGAGAAAAATATTCGACAAAAAACAAATAACAAGCAACAAATTTAAAGCAGAAAATAAATAACATAAAAAGAACGTCAAGATTTACATGGTTCATCACAATTGTGACTACATCTATGGGCAAATACGATCGATGTTTTCACTAAATGAAAGAAAAAAAATTACAAGTCAATTTACTTGAGAGAGCCAGATACTCAATCTCCCACAAAGCTTTATTTACAATTTTCTCTCTCGACAAAAACCCCTCAAAAGTTTCCCTCTATTTTTTTTCTATGCACTTTTTCTCTCTACAATAAGAGACGACAAACCCACGATCTACTTTTTCTATACATGTTTTCTCTCTCTCTAAAAAAGCATTTTTATATAAAGAGAATAAAGCCTCAAAGACAAGTACGTCAAACCAATCTCAACTTTTTCTAACTTTATCAAAAATGAACTTTATCCCTATCAAGCCTCATCCTAATCTAAGTAAGAATTATCTATAAACTTAATTAATAAACAATAGGCTCTACCAAATAACTAGGAAACCTGGCAAAATCTTTATCCCCCTATATCTTGCCAATTTAGATATATCCAAAAAATATTTGTTTCTTAAAATATAGGATTCACATCCCAAAAAAATATAGAAACCTAACCGAGACTTATCTTGGAATACAAAACAAATCAACAAATCTCCACCTTGGCTTCAATTCCAAAAGATATTCCCATCAATTGTCTTCCCCTCATGCGCCTCCACAAGGGCTCACTTGGGCAACACATTAGTCAAGTCCAAGCAGAACTTGAACTTCTGAAATGGAACCAGTCTTGTCAACATATCTGCAGCATTCTTCTTAGTGTTAATTTTTAGTAACAAGATATCACCTTCAGTGATGATCTCACGAATAAAATAGTATCTGACATCAATATGTTTCGTCTTTGCATGATATACTTGGTTCTTCGTCAAATGTATTGCACTCTGACTGACACAATAAATAACAGTCTCATTATGTCGTAAGCTCAAATCGCTTACAAGCCCTCTAAGCCAAACAACTTCTTTCACTGCCTCAGTAATAGCCATGTATTCTACTTCAGTCGTAGATAAGGTAACAACGATTTGTAACATCGATCTCCAACTGATTGAAATTCCTACAATTGTAAACATATAACCTGTAGTAGATCTCCTACAGTCCAAATCACCTGCAACGTCAGCATCAACATAACCAACAACCTTGTCACCAAACTTGGTATCTCTATCAAACATCTGACCCACATCTGATGTACTCCTTATGTAACGCATAATCCATTTTACTGCATGTCAATGCTCCTTTCTTGGATAAGTTATATGCTTGCTAACAACACTAACGGCATGAGAAATATCTGGACGAATGCAAATCATTGCATACATAAGACTTTCAACTACACTCACGTAGGGAACACGTGACATATACTCCTTTTCAGCATTTAAACTTGGAGATAATGCTGCCAACAATCTGATATGTGCAACAACAGGAGTACTCAAGGCTTTTAAATTTTTCATCCCGAATCTAACGATGACCTTCTCAATATACTCCTTCTGAGATAGCCACAATTTACCCAACTTTCGATCTCTACGAATCTCTATATCTAATATGTTCTTTGCTGAACCTAAATCTTTCATCAAATTCTCTGATATGTTGAGTTTTCAATTTACTGATTTCTAAAGAATTCTTTGCAGCAATAAGCATATCATCAACATAAAGCAATAAATAAATCAACGAACTATCAATAACTTTCTTAAAATAAACACAATTGTCATACTTACTTCTGACATACCCGTGTCCAATCATGAATGTATCAAAACATTTGTATCACTGCCTAGGAGACTGCTTTAGGCCGTACAACAACTTCTTCAACTTGCAGATATGATCCTCCTTTCCTTTAACAACAAACCCTTCTGGTTAAGTCATATAAATTTGTTCTTCAAACTCTCTATGAAGGAATGCAATCTTAATATCAAGCTGCACTAATTCCAAATCAAACAATACAACAATAGCTAATAAAACCCGAATAAAAGTGTATTTCACAACTGGAGCAAAAATCTCATTGTAATCAACACCTTCTTTCTACGCATAACTTTTTGCAACCAAACGTGCTTTAAACCGATCACCTCATGTGACCCATCTTTCTTCTTATAAACTTATTTACAACCAATTACTTTCTTGCCTTTAGCATACTCCACGAGATCTCAAGTACGATTCTTTTCAAGAGATTTCATTTCTTCATTCATGGCTTCACTTCATTTGCTACTGTCGCTATCATGTGTAGCTTCCTTAAAAGTGATGGCTCTTGGCTTGTGGTTGACAATGCATAAGCCACCATATCCTCAAAACTATATCACACAATTGGCTTTTTTATTCTCATTCTATTTCCAAACTGAGGCTATGTCTCAAGTGGAGTAGATTCAACGACCTCCTCATGATCAACATCTTCCTCCACTCTCTCGCAGGGAATTTTTGGCACATAGTGTAGAGTATTTTCTAGAGTTGTCAACTCCACCTCAATTGCATCACTACTGCTGCAAATTTCCATTTCTGCCCTATTATGAATGCGCTTTAACATGGCAAATTCACTAAACTTGACATCATAACTAACAATAAACTAAGGCGACTTAGGATCTGGGCACCACATTCTATAGCTCTTAACCCCATTCGCATAACCAAAGAAAATACACTTCTTTGATCTTGGACTCAGGTTGTCATCCTTCACATGAACATAAGCAGAACAACAAAAAAATTTTAAATGAGAATAAGCAACAGATTTATCGGACCATATCTCTTGTGGTGTTTTGTAGTCGATTATTGTAAATGGTGACATATTGACGAGGTAACATGCCGTATTGACCGCATCTGCCCAAAAGTCCTTTGACAAACCAGCATTGCTCAACATGTTGTAGGTTTTTTCTAGAACTGTCATGTTCATACGCTCAGCAACTCCATTCTATTGCGGCGTCTTCGGAGTAGTGAAGTGACGAACAATTCCTTTGCTCTTGCAAAACTTCACAAACTCCGCTGAAGTGTGCTCTCCACCACTATCAGTCCTAAAGCACTTGACCTTCTTTCCAATCTATCTTTCGACCATTACTTTCCATTGCTTAAATGTATTAAATACATTTGCTTTTTTTTTTAATATGTAAAATCCACACCTTCTTAGACAAATCATATATGAAGGAAACAAAGTATAGAGATCCACCTTTTGAGATAACCGATGCAGGGCCCCAAACATCTGAATGGATGTAGTCAAGAATACTTTTTGTGATATGTTTAGACATGCAAAACTGCACCTACACTGCTTACCATAAACATAGTGCTCACAGAAGTCCAACTTGCACTTCTTCATGCCATTGATCAATTTACGAAGTTTTGCCAAAGCTCTCTCACCCATGTGGCCCAAACGCATATGCCACAACTGAGTCAAGTCATAATCACCATCATCAGATACAAAAATTACTGCGTTATTTTTTATAATATTCCTAAGCAGAACATATAAATTCGGTCTGATCTTCTTGTCTTTCATCACAACCAGAGCACCTTTAAGAGTCTTTAGAACTCCACCTTATGCAACAAATTTGTAGCCATTGGAGTCAAAGGTACCTAGAGAAATAAGATTATTCTTCAAATCTGGAACATGTCTAACATTAGTCAAGGTTCAGACAACTTCATCATACATCTTGATAGTAATGGTCTTGCAAGTTGCATCATTCTCCATCAAAACTGATCCACCTACAATACTCTTATATGTGGTGAACCAATCCCAATGAGGGCACATATGATAGGAACATCTTGAATCAAGATCCCATGAGTCTTTAAAGTTATCACAATTTGTAGAGATCGACAACACATTATCTATTCCACTTACCAAGCTTCCATCAATTATATTGGCTGCTTCAGAAGCATATCTTTCTTTCTCTTTGAGTTTCCAACAATCATTCTTAACATCCTCTTTTTTCTTGCAGTAATTGCAATAAATATTATTTTTTCTTGATCTGGATTTGAATCTAGACTAGCCCTATTTTCATGTCTCTTTCCACTTCTCTGTCTCCATCTAGCCATTAAACCATCTACATGTGGCTAAGCATTATCATGTCTCTTTATCAAATCGTTAGCGAGAAGAGTGATCCTCCATCTCTATTGTATCTTTTCCATAAATCAATGTTGTGACTAAATGCTCACACGAATGAGGGAGTGAGTATAACAAAATTATAGTCTTATCATCATCATCCATTTTAACACTAATATTCAATAATTAACAAATAATTTTATTAAAATAATTCAGGTGTTCATGGATATCTGTACCTTCATTCATCTGCAAGTGTACAATTTTTGCTTAAAAACAGTCGATTTATGTAGGACTTCATCATATACAAACTCTCAAGCTTCAACCAAAAATTTGATACTGAATCATCATTGATTATATTAAATAGGACTTCACTCAATAAGCACAATCGAATAGTGCTCATAGCCATCATATCTAAGTCTTCGC